AGAGGAGCACCGGGCATGTGCTTCCACCCCTCCCCTTAAGGCTTCAGAGCTGGGGCAGGGCTCAGCCGTGCCTTGGGGCTCTGCCCTGGCACCCCCCCAGTACAGCTGCCACAGGAGTGAGGGATGAAAAAGTATTTCCACCCCTCCACCTTTCCCTGTGGGAAATGCAGCAGGGAGACAGCTCTTCAGCCACTCTGTGGGAGAAGTGGCACCCCAAGACCCATCTCCCCTCCTCCTGCACTCATGGGAGGGCCAGAGAAGCGAGAGGGGTGGCTTTCTGGCACAGGGAGGCCTCTCAGCTTTCTGCTGTCAAGGGCAAATGGCCCAGCGCCCAAGGACTGGGGCGGTGGGGGGGTGCTCTCTGCAGCAGAGACGCCGGGAACCAGGGGGAGTTCAGGGGCACCCAGCCCGGCGCTGGGGACACGGGGAGGAAACATTTCAGAGTCGCTGCTTCAGGTAACTAACTCCCTGTAAGTCTGCCTGGATATCCACTCTTACACCTTTTAAAATTCTATTTTTACCCTGACCGGCATTAAAGGTGCCTTTCTGAAGTCCACATGGTTCCCACTTCTTGGATTTGCCAACGATGTGGGGCTTAGCAGGGAGTCCCCCACCCCTAAACGTACATTTGCACAGATTGTGCTGGCAGAAGTGAAAAACACCACTCCAAAACGGGGAAAGACAAGCAGAGGCTACTTGCGTGGGTGAAGCGTGACATCCTGCACTCCTGTCCTCAACAAGCAGCTGCCCGCTCTAGGACGCCCATTGGCATTCTTCCTCTGCCTTCTTATAAATAGGCCGTTAACCTCAGGGCTCTCTGAAAACCTGGTCAGCACTTCAGTTTCCTGGAAGGCTGGGCTAGGCTAGGGATGGGAAACCTACAACGGGGGCAGGGGTGGTCACCAGTGAAGGACAGCAGGACAGGGAGCCTGAAAGCTGTTGCCAACCAAGCCAGATCATTCATCCACCAAACTGGGGATGTCCTGCCCTGCACGCAAGATCTTGGCAACCTCCCACAGAGATTCCCATCTGGAGAGGGCTCGGGGTTGTAGGACCTCTGCTTGGCCTGCCGAATTACACCTCGGATTCCATCCCTCAGTAAGGTGGGAAAAGATTCCTGGGGCCTAGGCGGCCCTGAACGGGCAGGCTAAAAGCTTGCTTGGCACAGGAAACAGTAGTTATGTTTAGAGAGCTCCAGCCTGCCAAAGGCCCGAGGATGACATTTGGCAAACGAGGCTGTACTGAGTGCTCCTGTCTCCGTGGCAGAAAGCAACCAGCCAAGAATGTGTGGACGTTCATCAGCCTTAAGAAAACGGCTCTTTGGTGGGTGAGACGTTCGTGTCAGTGAGCCAGTGCCTCACTCCCCAGGGCATCCAAGAAAGAGCCTGTGAGTGCACACAGCTGGGTCTTGGCACAAAGGAAGGTGACCGGGCGCTTTCTCCTTGACTCTCTCCTGTTTTCTCAGTGACCAGGAGAGTTTGTCCCTGTTTCCACCTCTGAGGCATTTGATAACCTGCTATGGATAGAGAAGTGAAATCTTAGCTACGCTCGGCCAGTTCAAAACACGTCAGCACCTGGGTTGAAAAGGGGGCCGCCAAGCAGAACCCCTCCAAGTACGAGTTCTAAAGAAGGAACATCCTAAGCAGGACCTGAGAAAGAATGGTGCTGGGTTTGACTCCGGCATCTTCACCCAGCAGGGCACGGGTGCTAACACCCTCCTGTCAGTTGCCCTGCATCAATACCGTAGGTGGCAAATAGCCATCGGACTAGTAGCCATTGCATGACTTTGTCCAACACCCCCTTTTCTAAAACCCTCCACGTTGGTGGCAGTCTCCTCTAACACACCAAGAGAAAGTTTGCAGAACAAGCCCAGTGCCCAGAGATTGCTCCGGCTGAGCCAGACACAGAGAGCCAGGCGACATCAACACCAGGCTCTTCTTCCACGCGCCCTAGATTGTCCACACAGAAGGTCTTGCACGGGTAGGAGGAGGAACCATTTCCACACAAGAACATCTGAACCATCGTGGGCTGCCTCAGAAGCAGGCTGGGGATGAGATGAAGGCAATGTCTTGAAGACGCTTCCTCTACAAGCAGCACAGGAGGCATCTGTGTGCCGGGCAAGGAGGGCAGCGTACCCGGCTCCCACAAATCACACAGATAAAATGGCACCTGATCCAAATGGTAACTTCCCTGTGCTGGTAATTATGTGCTTGAGTTATGTTTGTGCAGGATTCCAGTTCTTGTGCTCCTGCCTCCCTCTCCTCTGCCACTCACTCTGGTCCCCTCCCTCTCCCTGGGGCTGAAACACCGTCGCCCCAGCATCCGCCACACAGCGCAGAAGGGGGTGTCGTCAATCCCCACGCCCAGCTCGCACCCTTCTCACCAGGCCTTTGCCAAAGAGCAAAGTCTTGGGGCACCAATGCGAGACACAGGCGCGGCTCTGGGAAGCTCCTGTTTTCCCCAAGCCCCACTGGGGGCTGTGATCCCGCGACCCCTCCGGCCATATTCGCACAAGGCCTGGGTCGGAACGGGGGGAGCTCAGCCACGCCGGTGCTCGCCGACGGCGC